CCTGCTCTCATGGCACTTACTCATTTGTTAAGTAATCAAAAACTTTTCAGTTAGTAATAAGTATTATGGGGAAATGCAGATTAGTGTGCTGCAGAGATGGAAAACTCTCTTTATTGTTATTATTGCTCATATTTGCAGATGAAGAAACTAAAGCCACCGAGAGCTTATGTAATTAGTCCCCACTCACAGTAATTGAGTGGTAATTGGCAGAGCCATAATTCAAGTTCAGATCTTTCTGGCTTTAAATCCTATGTATTCTCTCTTTATTGCACCTGCTTGTGTAGGAAGACCATACTCAGAAGAAACCTCAATTTATAGATGAGGAAACTGAGACCCCAAGAGATAGAGTAATTTTGCCCATTTAGACCTAGATAACTGATACCCAAGCCAGGATCAGAACACAGCCAACCCGACCCTGCACCCAGCATCTTCATGCAACTTCCAGAAGGAACACGCGTTAGAAAGGCTCTTGCTAAGAGTGTTTATAAGACCTGAAGGGGAAAGGTAGAATAACCGCTGCAGACTGCATTTAATGGATTAAATTACCAGAAAGTGGGATCCGTGGTCAACATTTTTAGTATTTGCTGACAAGAAGCTTGTCTGTATTCTCCACCAGCGTGTTTTCTAAAATTGTTGGTTCAGTTGTATTTTAAATCCTTATTTAAAGAATAGGCTTCAGTGGTTCTCTCGACTGATATTACAAGCACTGGGTTACAACAGTGAACAAGGCAGACCCTGCCTTTGGGAACCGCTGATCTGGTGCGAGAGACCGGCTATGAAATGGACAGTGAAGAGACCTGATGCTCTGAAAGGGGTGGCACGGGGATGCATAGCAGGGGCTTCCAACCCAGTCAGAGATGGCAGAAATGCCAATCTTGGCAGAAATGACACCCAAGCTCAGAGCAACAGGACAAGGAAGAGTTAGCCACACAAATGGGGTTGGGAAGAGTGTTTTGGGTAGAAGATACACACAGGAGAAACCCATAGGGGAAACACACAGGACTATGATTTTGAGATATGGAATGTGATGAATAATGATTTCATTCTTGGATGGGAAGCAGGAGGTAACTGCATCTTCATTGGGGAGAATCCACCTTCAGGTTGTTTAATGGGTCATCATATTTTACTTTTTTTTTCCTTTCAAGGTATGCTAGCTTATACTTTTGCTGTGCAGTAGAAAGTCAGGACAATGAGCTCTTGACACTAGAGATTGTGCATCGTTATGTGGAGTTGCTGGACAAGTACTTTGGAAATGTAAGTTGTTCTGGTCTATTAGAATCAGTAGGTCTCCTTCTCAGCTCTTACTTCAGTCTGTCTTCCGTCACATTTCTTCTCTCTCTCAAGAGTAAAATATGAATTGCATTTGTACCAAGGATCAGAGCACAAGGCTTCCCCCACTTCCTGTAATTATTAAATGGCAGATTTCAAGGCAGGTGGTGTCTTCAGACCACAACACCTGAGACCTTGTTTAATGCACTAGAGTGTAATTGTGAAGGATTCCTTCTTTGTCATGGACTGTCATCTCTCTTCTCATTTGCTCTTTTAGCCCCTCTCTGGCTTCTTCTACTAAGTCACACATGTTCTTTAATATTATTTATACATGAGAGTGAAAACAACAACAATACCCTTTCATTTCACATTGCTGTTTTATCTCCTTGCCCCCCAGTAATGTCTTACATGAGGTGTCCCAACCCGCTGAACTCATTCACTCCACAGCAGCTCACAGCTTGGCTTCCACCCCTGCGGCTCCAAGGAAATCAGTTACCACCCACCCCTCCCTAGTGGCCGACACCAGTGACTCTTCTTAAATCTTCACTTGCTTAACCTCCTGCAGCACCGAACCCTTGCTCACCACGATTCTTTCTTTAAATGTGCTCCTTTTTATTTTGCCAGGACACTGAATTCTGCTTATGGCCCCTCCTGGCTTCTTCCATTGAGATCCCTCCCTCCACCTGCTCCCTAAATGCCCTGCTGCTCTTCCTCCTCTCTGGTGTGTCTGCCCGATTTTCTCTCCTGGAAACCTGTTACCACATGACTGTTTCTTGCTTTGCTGAAGATGCTCTTCCTGGGCTTCTCAATCATCTTAGTCTTCAATGCAACAAGAACCATACGCACCTTCTGTTCTGTATTGTGATCAAATTTATTGTGTCTCAGGATCCTTTCAGCTTTCTCCAACCTTTATACTGTGGGGCCTTGGCTTACGAGTTTAATTCGTTCAGTGATGGAGCTCGTAACTCAAATTACTCGTATGTCAAATCAAAAAGTGAACGAGTGAGACACATGATGCTGGGCTGATGTGGCGTTCACTGTGACGTTCGCTGCGCCAACTAGCGGTGGGGTATCTGAAGCTGGCTCGTAACCCGAATTTTAGCTCGCTCCTCAAAGCAAAATTCGGCCGAGAGACGGCTCATATCTCGAAAAACTCGTTAGTTGGGACACTTGTAAGTCAAGGCCCCACTGTACTACAATCTGCCTCTGTCTATTAAAACTAGGCCAAAATTCCTCTCCTTCATTCCTGTTACTAGTCTAGGCTTTTTGGGGATCATACTTTTGCTTCTCTTTGAAACCTCATCTCTGGCTCTCACCTGGCCTATTGGTTACCATCTTCCTTACAAAGCACAGATTCGGGGTGACATCCCTCCTCAGTCACTCTCCATCTAAAATTCAAACTCCTTAGCCTGCTATTGAAGCTTTGTAAACCTTGGTCCCAGGCCATTCTCCCACTCTCTCGCTTTTCTCTCTTTACATCCCTGACCCACCCAGTGCTCCAGCCCCATGGGCCAGCCCGGCCTTATCCTTCACTTGCATGGGCTTTGCTGGGCCATTGAACTGCAAGTCTTTCACGATCATGACCTAGGACTGACTGTTTTTTTCAACACTTGTAACCAGCTCTGGACCATATTTTAGCAACCGTTCCAGAATCAATTAAAGTAGTTCACACTTCGAGTAGTCATTGGATTTGGAAAATTATTTGGGAAATGATTTCTTGCTCACTGAAGATTTTTATTTTGTGTTATTAGGAGCACTTACTTCCACAAGAGTTTTCTGTATTCCATTTAATGGAATGGGCAACATTTACAGTATTGGGTGGGTTTTTATCAGATTTGTTGCAACTCTTTTTATAGGCTGAGTACTTGAAAGGATTTTCCTGCTGTCTCTCCTCCCCTCTCTATTATTCCCCGCTTTTTTTCTTTGTGAATTATGAAAAGACCTAAGTGTTGCTTCAGGGACTTCAGGTTGTTGGAAATGAGGTAGCTAGATCAATTTTCTTTCTCTTTCTCCTGGTTCCCTAAGATTTTTTTTTTCATTTTTAAAAGAGAGATTTGCAAAAACATAATAGCATATTTTTATATTTGAGATTATTTGATGTTATGCTTTCTGTCATTCGGATGAATTCTGACATTTTGGTATTTCCTTTTCAAATAACCTCCAGGCTCGGCCTTTTGCAAAAGCCTGTAGGAGTTCCCCAGGAATCGCCTCGTCCCTCTCATTTCTGCACTCTGGTCTGGCCTGTTGTGTTTTTCTGGATTAATTCAGCTATGACAATATGAACTGGGGCTGAATGTGGATCTGGATCTTATCTGACCAAATTGAGGGTACTTCAGAACACGTGGCTTTCTCAAAAGAATTAGACTCCCCTTCACTAACACGAGGCTCATTTAAAGTACAGGGAGAGTCAGAATGAATTCCTATTTCTCTAGCATCAATCTTTTATCCTGTTTGGGCAGACCTTTAGGAGGATCCAAAATTTAATTCACTAAAAAATTCAATGAATCTTTCATTAAGCTAAGAGCAGCTAAGAGCAGTTCAAGGCTATCTGCCCAGTAGGTGTTCAATCCTTATTAATTAACAGTGATGAGCAAAGCGTACTGACTCTCACTGACATCGTCTCAGGAACATCGTCTCTTTGGTTTACTTTCTCTCTTGTGTTATTCTGAAGGTTTCCTTGAATTTTGTCCTTCTGTAATCTAAGAGAAAACTTTGTGCTGAGCTCCTCTTATATATAGCACTGGAAAAATATTACCTTCTGATGACAGATAAATCAAAATCTCTGGCTACTGATTTAAGTCATGTATTTTTTTAGCACTTTTCAATTCCAAGGAGATTTACAAGGATTAACTAGTTAATCTTTCGATTTGCAGTAAGTAGCATTAACCCCAGTTTATAGAGGCGATGAAGCTCTGGGTCTCACCATAGATAAGGGTCTGCTCCGGGATTTCCAGGCCTGCCTATTTCCCCATTTCAGACTCTCGGCCAGTTTTCACTGATGTCCTCAGAAGGTGTGGCTATTGCTGTCTTAGAGCGCTTGGATCTCCATGGAGGGGATTTTCTTGTAGGAAGAGGTTAATAGAAATATTTACTTTGCTAACCCCATAGGGCTATTGTGAGGATCAAAGGAACAGTGCAGTTAACAATACTTTCTAAATTGTCCATTGCTATTTAGCTATACCTTGCATTAGGGTTATCTTATATATAATTTTATATATATAGTTGATTTTTTACAGAGAGGAAGGGAGAGGGTTAGAAGTTAGAAACATCGATGAGTGAGAAACATCCATCAGCTGCCTCCTGCACAACCCCCTACTGGGGATGTGCCCGCAGCCAAGGTACATGCCCTTGACCAGAATCGAATCTGGGACCCTTCAGTCTGCAGGCGTATCCACTGAAGGCATATACCTTCAGTCTCCACTGAGCCAAACCAGTTAAGGCTATAGTTTTATACATTTATTGTATATAACTTGATATTTTTTGTATTTACTTTAGAAGAGAATTCAGTGAGGGAAGGTCCTTCTTAGACTCTATCCAAAAGGATTTAGTTATTGCAATACCAGAAATATTCTTGCTACATCACATATTCTGCTCTAAGAGAAGACCCTTACTCCAAATTATAGTAAAGCATAAGGCTTGAAGATCAAATGTAAAGTTAAATGATCACTGTTTCTGCCTTTTATAAGCTTTCTGCCAGATATAGATGCATGAGAAAATGATTTTTAAAAAAGAGGCTTATGTGTTGATTAACACAAAAGCCCTGTGTTTTTGCATAATTTGGTGGAATGAAATTATTTGAGCATCTGGTGTACTGGGGCAGGGTGCTTAAGGTGGAATTGGAAGTATCTGAAAGAAAAAAAAGCAAGTATTTGAGTAATCAGGCAATAGCTGAAGAACCTGCATTTAGGCTAAGGTTCCCCTGAAATGTTTTCTCTTCTTACTCTGTGATACAGAGCCTTTGGGCCTTCCAGCCGTGGGCAAACTACGGCCCACGGGCCGGATCTGGCCCGTTTGAAACGAATAAAACTAAAAAAAAAAAAAAAAAGACCGTACCCTTTTATGTAATGATGTTTACTTTGAATTTATATTAGTTCACACAAACACTCCATCCATGCTTTTGTTCCGGCCCTCCGGTCCAGTTTAAGAACCCATTGTGGCCCTCGAGTCAAAAAGTTTGCCCACCCCTGGTAGACTCAAGAAATAGCCACAAAGTCGAATTTTGGAGTTGCTGTATGTGAAATAGCTGCTCATGGGTAATGTTCTCTAGCATGCCAATAGAACTTGTACATCCATTTCCCTTATGACCTAGAGATAGTAACTGTATATCCAAGTTGTGTGTGCATGTGCATGCATAGTGTGTCTGTGTGTTTTGTGTGTATTTGGCTTTGTACACCACTTCACCTTACCCCTATCCCTGGAACTGAGGTGCAATAAATTAATTGCCCCATGGCTGCTGGGGAGCCCCACAGGCACGGGGAGGGGCAGCTGCTCTGAGAGGGGGGTATGAGAAGCTCTCAGAGAACTTGCATTAGTATCAGGTTCACTTTGCAGAGCTCTGGCTGCTGGTTTCTCCTAATGAAGTTGCTGCCTATCTTGGATTCCTGGTCTATGCCTGCCTTGAACTCTGAGGCTACTGTAACTCCCAGCTTCCTGTTCTTCCAACTTCTGGTAATTGCTTACTTCTCCTACCTTCTTTCATGTGCATGGTGTCTCATCTGCTGTGCTTTCTTTTTATCTATACTGTTTAAAATTGCAAAATACTGCATATGTTTTTTATATATCCTTCTAGACATAAACTTTTAAAAATAAAATGGATTTGCATTATGGAATTGCATTTATGCATATTATTTTGCAGCTTTCTTTTTCCTCTTACAACCTTCTTTTTCCTCTTGCCTGATATGTCCCAAGCACTCCATAAATACTTCTTTTTTTAAAAAAAATTAATTTATTTTCCAACTACAGTTAACATACACTATGATAGTAGTTTCAGGTGTACAACATAGTGATTAGGCATTTATATCCCTTATGAGGTGATCCCCCCGATAAGTGTAGTACCCATGTGAAATACTTCTTAAACAAATGTAGGTGGATGGGGACAGGGGAGACAAACCATCCAAAGAGCTTGAAAAGGAATCATCAGAGATGGAGGAAGAGGACAGGCCTTGAAAGGATCGCCACAGTCAGGGAACAGGAGAGAGGAAATTTTCAGGGATGAGATTGGTGAAGAGTTTCCAAAGCTCCAGTCTGCTGAGAGATAGGTGTCAGGGAGGACTGAAATCTTGCCGTTCTCAGACCTTCAGGAGGGTGTGGGAATGGAGAGTTAGGTGTCAGTGAGTTGAAGGAAACAGCAAGGAGAGTCCCTGAGTGGCTGTTGGGTTAAATAATTGGAAATGAGCTTTATTTGGATTATGGGGAGTAGTCTTACCATTGCTTCACTTGACCAAATCTATCAGACTGTTCTGGTCTATGGCAGTGTCATTGGTTCCCCACATGTCCAGCATCATTAGCATCGCCTGGGACCCCGTTAGAGGTGCAAACTCTCGGGCTTAGTCAGGCACACTGCACTAGAAACTCCAGCAGTGATGTTTTAACGCGGCTTCTGGGTGGTTTAGACATATTCTGAAGGTTGAGAGCCACTGGCCTGTGACATAATTTTGAGAAAAATTAGCACAATTGAGGTCTGAAGTGTGACCTTCTAAGGGTCCTAAAACTAGGAGCTCTGACTCACAGAGCAGAGAGCAGGAGAAAGGAAGCTCGCCCCCGAGCCTGAAATGTAGTGGGGCTCAGCTTTCATCTGGGCAGATCGAAATATGAGCTGGGCAGCCTCATTCCTCCATCGAGTCGCAAATCTTTTGTTGTGACAGTAAACATTACCTAGGGACATGCTCTGCTTTAATGGAATGTGATTATACTACTTTTATTAAAGGCCTACAATTCCCTAGCTCAACTTTTCTGTCCTTAACATGCTACCTGATATTTTTATCCTTGGTATGCCACATGGGCGTTACTTGAAAAGCTCGAGACACTGGTATATGTTTCCCTTGATATCACTGCAGGTTTATCAAAACATTTGTTGTTGTTTTTTGTCCTACCAGGTCTGTGAGCTGGATATTATCTTTAACTTTGAAAAGGCTTATTTTATCCTGGATGAATTTATAATAGGTGGAGAAATTCAGGAAACGTCCAAGAAATCTGCTGTCAAAGCCATTGAAGATTCTGATATGTTACAGGAGGTCAGTACTCAGTTTCTCATGCAGTGGGAAAAGATGATGATGATTATAATGGTGGTGGTGTTGACGGTGGTGGTGATGGTGATGATGGCAGTGATGTTGATGGTGGTAGTAGTGGTTGTGGTGATATTGGTGGTGGTAGTGGCAGTGGTGGTGGTGGTAGATATGATAGTGATGGTGGTAGTAGTGGTTGTGGTGGTGGTAGTAGTGGTGGTGGTGGTAATTAAATATTAGCCAACACTTATTAAGTTCTTATTCTGTGCTGAGTACAGTTTCCAAGCAACTTACATGTATTAATTTATTTAATTATCACAGCAGCTCTCTAAGAGGTAGGTAGTATTGTGAGCCTCATTTGAAAGATGAGTAAACTGGGTCACAGAGAGGTTAAGTCACCTGCTCTACGTCACACAGCTAATAAGTGTGGAATAGAGATTTGAGCCCAGGCGCTTGGGCTCCAGAACCTTCACTCTTCATGTTTGAGCTTTTAAGTGAGGATACCTCCGTATCAAAAAGCTATCAAATACTTGGTGATAGTCTTTATAAGAATAATTTTATGAGGGGTATAAAAACTTTCGTTAAAGTATCTGTGCTGCCCCAGAAAGGAGACTAGCAGCACATCGTTATTTCATTTGCCAGGGCTATTAGAGCTTTATTCTTGAAGAGGGTATTTATCATTTTAATTAAAATTTCTTACACCCCCTCAGAAGGCTGTGTGTGGGCTCTTATTTGCATAAATTAATTGGGAATACCGAGGCTCGCTTGCCAAGGTATAAAAGGGCCCTGAAGCATCCATTTGTTTGTGCTCCTGACTTGGTGGTGCTCATATAAAGTAGAGTGGGGCTTTGCTTTTAGTTGTAGTCCAGATTGGCATAAAGGAACTTACCGCCATGAGTCCCTTCAGTTTTCCCAGGTACACTGTGAAAAATAGTGCATCACTCCACTGGCCTTTGACCTCCTAAATGAGATAATCCAACCCAGCTCCGCCACCTCTGGATACTTCTTCCCACAGCATTCATGGGTCTTGCCATCTTTCTATTTTCATAACAGCAGGTCAAGAGATTCCAGAGTGTTACAAAGTACCTTTGAAAAATTGGCATTAAAGCCATTCTTCCTACTGTTTTAAAGGAATAAACTGATTAAATTAATAAAACAACATGAGGAATGATTTCCCAGCAACTGTGTTTGCACGTCTTTGAGCTGATTACTCGTTCCTGCCTATCTAGGGCACCAGTTCTTGGATACTGAGAAAGACGTCTGTTTGAGTTTATCTGTGCCAGCTAAAAGGCCAATGTATTTATTGCTAGAGGTGTTCTCACCTCAAAAAATGCACATAAACTTTCTGTTTACTTGACTCTCTCCAAATGCTATGGGAAGGGAATTTTATAAGATACTTGAGAAATCAGTGGTTTGGAAATTCCACAGAACAGCTTTTCTTTCACTATGCCAGGAGGTTGTTTATAATTCTATCTCAGGGCTCTTACTGTGGAGTCTCCTTGTAGGAGAAACAAACTTGCCTGGCCAGTGTGGCTCAGTGGTTGAGCATCGGCCCATGAACCAGTAGGTCAGGGTTTGATACCCTGTGAGGGCACATGCCTGGGTTGTGGGTTCGATTTCCAGTAGGGGGCATGCAGGAGGCAGCAGATCTTTCTCATCATGATGTTTGTCTCTCCTCCTCTCCCTTCTTCTCTCTGAAGTCAATAAAAATATTTTTTAAAATATAGGAGAAACAGACTTTAAACAGGGTCTTTTGGCACTTTGGGAATTAAAATTTTTTGAATTGGTGCCAAGACACACCTGTGTTATTTTGAACACCCCTTTTCCCCCACCCCCTAGGAAAACGTTTTAAAGAGCTTGCAGTGTATCTAGTATTTCTAGTTTCATTTAAATCTGGAAGCAGGTATTTCAAGAGAGAGCCCTTTCACAATTTTAAACACTAATTGGTAGTTCATGTCCCCTGTGATTGAGTTGAAGGTTCTGATGAGTAGGTCTCGGGGGGTCCTCCAGTTCGCCCCTGGGTCCCCATAGTGAGCTGGCAATGCCACGACTGCCCTATAAATCTCGTTGATTTAACAGCACCTGCCAAACTGAAACAGCATTATCGGCATTCTGATACAGGCTAAGTCAATGAACATTTGGGAAGCTGGCTAAAAAATTGACTTTGTATATTTGGTTATCTTTGTAAGTTCAGTCAGAGAAGTTTAAATGAATGCACACAAGTAATATAATCACATAAAGAAAAAAATTACTGCTTTTCTTATTTTCTGTCCTTGGGACCTAAACACATATTTGTAATTGCTAAAGGTTAAGGGAGTAACCTTAAGATTAAAGTAATAACATTGTTTCACTTTTAACCCAACTAAAAACCTGCACGTAGCCCCTGGGACTTTCTCTAGACCCCTCACTAAAAGACTGTCTCCCCATATATACAGCCTTAAATCTCGGAGGGCTAAAAACTTATTCTGGGTATACTAGGGCAAGATGTTGATAATGTGGAAGTAAATGAACAGTTTGATTGGTTGAGGATGGCTTTAGGCAGTATCTTATTTTGAAGGTAACAACTAAGAATTGCAGATGACAGGTGCAAAGTGATTAGAAGGAAAAAGAAGATAGTGATCTTGAATTGCAGAGGTTGCAATTCCTGAGATTACTAATGGGGTTGACAAACAGATGTTTTGACCACAGAGTAAGAAAGCAAGTTTAGAAAAGAACCTGTTCCTACAAGCTCAAGACAGAACCAACCTCATGCATTATTGGCTCGTGTAATTTGAGTAGCATGGCTCAGGAAGGGCAGCCACGCAGTCTTCAGCAGACTGAATGCACCAGTGCCGTTCAGTAGGGGCCAATGAATTGTGGAGTCAGTGAGGTGACAACTCCAGGGTATCTTAACTGCAAAGAAGTAGCCAGACAATAAATATATTATAGAGGGTGTCAGGCACTTAATGATTGTTAACCATATGCTCTTGTTCTGGATTTTGCGATAGTTGTCATCTTTTAAAAATAAGCCAGTCAGTGAAAGAAAAATACCAGATGATATCACTCATTTGTGGAATATAAAGAACGTTATAAACTGATGAATGAAAATAAATACAGAGGCAAAGAAGCATTGAACAGACTGTCAAACTTCAGCGGGAAGGCTAGGGAGAGTTGAGCGGGGC